AAAAAAAAACAGGTTCGACTCCCCAAGACATTGTCCACTATTGGTCCATTGCGCCATGCCAATGTCACGCTTCCATCTTCGACATTTTGATTTCAAGGGAGAAGGCACATCCTGCTGCAAACGCGTTTGGTTGCTCATACCCTTCTCGCATCCTGTACCTCCCCGTCTTGCGTGTTGCGGCAATGTTTTGTGCTTGTATTTTCAGAGTTCGCGAGCTCTTGTGCACGGAAATGGTTATCGAAAAGTTCTTGCCGTTCTCCTTCTTGTCATCTGGGAGATCGTGGAGGCGGACGATAGGCTTCGAGGTCTCCGGCGACATAACGTACCCGCCGCTTCCAAAGCAAGCGCATCAAGCACCTCCTGGCGGAGATGTATGTCGCCACCAAGAAGGTCAGTGATGTTGTGCACCACGCCCTCGCCTCTCTACATAGCTACTCCTTTTTTTTTACTCGGTTGTTGATCGTTTGTTTCTGTATTTTTTCTTCCGCCGCTTCGTTGTACTTCAAGTGACACTTTTTTCGGTCCAATTCTTTTTTTTCGGCTTAACTCGAGATGTACCAAAACAAACATTTTTTTTTGTTTTCGGGGACTTTAAACATCAACATCCACGGGGTTTGATGGTTGGTGGAACAGCGTCAATGTGTTGCTCTCGGCATATATTTTATATTTCATCAATCTTCATTTTCCCGAAAATTCGTGCTGGTCTATCGACATAACTATCTTGCTCTGTGTCGTTGATTTGATTCCCCTTGCCCCCGCAGGCTGTGGTGGGGAACATGCTGACGGAGATCGAGAGAGCACCGCTGCCCATCGTGCACTACGGGATCGACCTGTGGCAGTGCAAGATTACTGGGCTGAAGTACATTGATGGCCACGTGTGCTACGTCAACAGCAACTTCGAACTGCAATACGCGCTCCTTTCTGTAAGTTAGATTGAATTGCCGCAATGTATTCGGGGCACTTTCGGTGATTGTTTGCAGAATCTCACATGCGTACCAGATTGAAGTGTACAGGAGCGTACAAGAGTAAGAGCGCTGTGTCTGCTACTGCTGATGCTAAATGTATGTCGGCATGTGTCCGCGAACATGTTCCCCCCCCCTCCCCCCGCGCTTGTTGCATAGGTGAAGCACTACGCCCCTTCAGCTGCCGTTCAGGTAACGGACAAGGCCAGCGAAATCCTCTTCATCGTCTTCAAGTCCGTGCTGCGCGAGTTCGGCGTCAAGATCTCGGACCTCGCTGGTGGAACGACGGACTCGGGCTCCGACGTCAAGGCAATGTGCGTCAACTTCCTGCTGGCGCAGCACAAGGTATCCTGGGACTGGTG